TGCCCTGCAAGCAAAATCATATTCCTGAGCTCTATGCTGCTGCAGTTACAGTGCCTGTAGAGCCTCAAGCAGCTGGACTATAATCTCAAATTCAAGTTTCTCTACAATATATTGCAACAATTCCTGCAACAGTCATATAGGTACAACCCAAGGTACATCTATAAAAAGGAACACAAATTGCCTATCATCCTATGCATGTCACCAGAAACAAACTTTTTAAAAGTCAAAATATATTTATTCATGTAAATATATTTTTATACAAATAAGTAAAATTTCAGCAAAACCAACTCATTATGCTGAGCCATCACCCAGCCCCAACCCTTTCCTAGCTGAGCTATTACTTTCTTTTAACTTTTTAATCTCTTCCCAGAATTCCCATGCTGCAATCAAATGTGGCCAGCAAGATTAGGGAAGTGATTGTACCCCTGTACTCAGCACTAGTGACGCCACACCTCAAATACTGTGTTCTGCTTTGAGTCCCTCATTACAAGAAGGACGTTGAGTTGCTGGAGCGTGTCCAGAGAAGGGCAACGAAGCTGATGAAGGGTCCAGAGCACAAGTCTTATGAGGAGCGGCTGAGGGAACTGGGGTTGTTCAGTCTGGAGAGAAGGCGGCTGAGGGGAGACCTCATCACTCTCTACAACTACCTGAAAGGGGGTTGTGGTGAGGTGGGTGTTGGTCTCTCTTCCCAAGTAACAAGTGATAGGACAAGAGGAAATGGCCTCAAGTTGTGCCAGGCGAGGCTTAGATTGGATATAAGGAAAAATTTCTTCACCAAAAGTGTTGTCAAGCATTGGAACAGGCTGCCCAGGGAGGTGGTGGAGTCACCATCACTGGAGATATTTAAAAGACATGTAGATGCAGTGCTTACGGACATGGTTTAGTGGTGGACTCGGCAGTGTTAGGTTTATGGCTGGACTTGGTGATCTTAAAGGTCTTTTCCAACCTAAATGATCCTAAAGGAGAGTTGCTTGAAAGTATCTTTTTTATGTTCTAAACACAGAGCCCAGAATGTCCAATATTAAAAACAACAACAAAAAACATGCTTCAAAATATTAATTTCTAGTCTAACTTACAGCAAAAAATGCATACAAAATGTAAAGGTTTCTGCATCAAGGCCTAACCATGTTGCTTACTAATCATCCCACAATCTGTATTTTAAGCAATACTCACTGGCCTCTGTTCACTAACAATGCAATGCCTAACAGGCAAAACTCCCTTACCTGTGGAAGCGGTTCAAAGAGGTACCCAATAGCCACAATTACCAACAGAACCATAATTGAAGAGAGAGCACCTGCAATCTGAAAAGAAGCCAGAAATGATTTGTAAGTGTCCCCAAAGGGCAGCATAACTGATTAGCTAACCTCTCCCATGCCTTCCACAAGGCTGGTTGTTCAAGTGACTTTTGATCCCTCCCACTCAGTTCACCCATTTTGGCTGTCATGCAGCTTTCTAATCCTGGCACGATCCAGATTTGAAACATGGGAAACTCCAGTTATTCCTTCTGGCCCAGGCAGAGAAATCTGTCAACCTAGTGAAGCTTCAGGCTTTAGCTTTGGAGCTCCAAAAAGCAAACTTTGTTTGGCTCAAAATTTGTGTTTACATACCTGAGTTTTCCCGCCCGTGCTTTCCTGAACAAGACTCCGAGACATTGAGCAAGTGATTGAAAAGCTTTGGAAAAATGATCCCACAGAGTTGCATATTCCCAAGGCAATAAGTTCCTGTGTTAAACAATAGAGCAAAATAAAAGGCAGTTACACCTAGCAACTGTACAAAGCTGGAGCTATACATACATGTTAATAAGCACATCTTATTTACAGTGCTTTCTAGCAACCTTATTGTGGAGAATAAGCAACCTTATTGTATCTTATACTTGTCATTCTCACACATGCACAAGTTGACGCATGTTAAAACATCTGTTTATCTGATTAAGTGCTGGAGACGTTTCCCATCCTTAAATGTTACAGTAATGAGTCAGACTGAAAACTAAAATGAATGACAGTATTGCTTATTTTAAGAATTTCTTCAACTTGGGGATAACTTTAATTTTAACCCTGAATATACATGGACAATGGTTTCTCATACAAACACTGTTCTTTGCTTCCCACCCCGAACTATCTGTTTACTACTAACAGAACCAAGAGGAGCCTTGGCTGTGTTTCCATGGGTGGTAATCCATTGCTGCACATGAAGAAACCCAATGTGTGTCCACTGCTTCATCAGGAAGATCCCACATGAAAAGTTACTGTGCGTGAGATCAGAGCTCCATCTACCTCGGTACTGTGTTTCTGGTGCCTAGGAAAGTATTTGTTTGTAATGAGGCCTCCCCAGATTACTCTGCATCCTGCCATTTGTAACTGGGGTACTTTGAGTTACACATTTTCAATAGTTATCAGCGAGTTTTCCTCTTTGTGTCTGTACAATCCTTTTTTGATTCATTTAAAGACTTAGCATGCACTGAATCCCGTGACAAGGAGTTCTATAGTTTAAGAGCCAGGTGAAGTACCACCTGGTACCTCCTGAGGAAAAGATCTAGATGCTTAATTCAGGTCAGTGATGATTACTTTAACTAGTGTAAATAGAGCGTATTCCATTCATCCCGCTACAGATTTGTCCTCTTCTCTCTTTGGGTAACAGAGAACAGCGACATGACGGAAGAGATTCATCTGACCAGATGTAAAACTCTGTAAGTAAAAGTAATTTAAACTTCATTTACTCTCAGAGGAAGACAGTCATTTTGAGAAGGGGGAACAGCTGACCTGCGCTGTCAGATGCTTGCTCTAGGAAATGTGTTACAGCATATGAATGCTGCCTCCCTTGATGCTACAATGATGTCAAGCAATAATTCAATTGCAATATTGATTCTAAATTGCACAGGAAGGACAGAGTAGGTGCGGATGACATACTGTTTTAGTTTTATAGTCCCTAGCCACAGCCTTTATCACTCAAATCATGATCAGAATGCTTACTACGGACAGGGCCAATTACTGCCCCAGAAAATGAGAAGCTGCCTGTTTGCAGTGGGTGGGAATAAAAAGAAACTATAAAACATAATTGGAATTTCTAAACCCTAGGTAATAGTTCTTTGACACATAAAGCACTGTATTTACCACATGGGAACTCTATGCTTTACTCCATTACAGAAAGTAGAGATAAATTAGCTGCCATCAGGACAGTAGGCTAAATAGTATCTGTCCCAACAATTAATATTCATGCATATGTCCAAGTCTAACAGAAGCGAGTTTCCCAAAATGAAGTTAGAAGTGAAACTGGTTATTAAAGCACAGCCAGAAGAACTTAAAATATCCCTGGCATTTAAATGTGTAGGCTGTCAAAAACCTGACCTGATTCTACTATGAAAGAAAAACTCTTTTTTAACCTATATCCCATTCTACTTTAACAATGAAACAAAGGTGCTACGGAGAATTTTCAACAAAGCAACCCAAATACTTTTACCTGATTCCCATCAATGGTGTAACCATGTTTAAGGGCAAAAATCTTGGCCATTGATACAGCCATTGAAAATCCAACTATTGCTATTGCTATTGCATCCACAAATATTGCTGGGATGAGCTGAATCTCAGGAACTGCTGGTGGATGTAACCTTGGAGATGAAAGAAATATTTACAAATTACTATAATAAAAGCTACATGCCATACAGAAAATGTATAGTTTGAATAAGAATACATTATCCCTACCCTTGAGGAATATTCCCAACAACATCGACTCTGTATGATTCACTCAGATTCATTCCAGCTGAAACTCCTGTGCCAATAATTACCTAAAAAACCACAAACATCTTTACAAATATCAGCTAGAAAAAGGCACCTGAAGCACTAATAATACTTAGCTGATTATGAATAATACACACAAGCAATTATATTTATTTGTCGATCAGTTTTCTAAGGGTTAGGGGGTAAAGCAGCAGATAAAAAGGAGTAAGATCCACGATTTTCCCTCCTCCATTTTCAACCCCCACTGATTTTATAAAGCTTTCTTGGAAACAATTAAATGGAACACGCTATGGTATGATCTGAATCACACAAATTCCCTTTGTCTGAGCCAAGCCCAGGCAGAATAATCTGTATTGGGAAATTAAGTGCAAGGACAAGCCAAGGACATCTGCACTGCCATATTTTCATGTGCATAACCTGCATGTTATCTGTAGACAGAACTGGTGCAGAAGCAGTGAAAGGAACAGGTGTGAGATCACTTTGCTATTGCCTCACTATCAAACAATACCCTGTTACACCACTTCCATCATTTCTCAACAGCATCCCTTTTCTTTGTTCCTTCTATCTAGATCGTATCCATACCTTCAGTTATTCCCTTTCTTGGCTCTGATTTTCTGCAGGTTGTTCGAGAGCTCTAGTTATCCGAGAACTCATTTTTAAATCCAACCACTTTAAAGGTGAAAGGTTATCTGAGATGTGGGCTTTGCGTGTATTAAGATAGTCTGCTTTATCCATGTACTTTAGAGTAGTCATTCGAAACAGAATCAATGCTGCAGTTATCAGTCTCAGAAACAGAGAAAGGGAGCTTAAGTAGTAAGTCCCACTGGTTCCTTCTCTTCTTTCTACCATTGCATTTTAAAAAGCAAGCAAGCCCTGCAGAACCTCTGAAACAGGCATCTGTAAGCGCCTGCCTTCAGGAGGGGCTTCTGAGCTCTTGGATTCCAAGTTGGCAATGCCACTTGGAGGCATGTCTCACAGTGACCTGATTCAGGTGCCGAAACTCTGGGACAGAGTGGGTTTTACAACAAATGTCTACCTACCCATTGCCATAGGGGACTGTGGGTGTTCAACTGGGTTTTCAATTCTTCTTTGGGACTTTACACCTAAAACTTTGACATGTCAGTCTCTAACCTTATGAGCATCCGAACCTTCAAATGGATCAGGCCTCAAATGAATTATGTTCCACAGAAGTTACTCTAAAGCTCAATAAGACTTGATAGAAAGTGAGATCGTTTCTACAGCTCTAGAAAAGTTGTATAATTTAGCCATAGAATTTCACAACTGGCTTACCACAATGATCTCCATAGGAATAGGAACTGGGAGCTTCTTCTTAAACCGGAGATTGATTTCCTTGCCAATCAACAATAGAACAATGCACGTTAATCCAACGATCAATGCAGCAATATTGGTGGCTGTTATTTTTGAAAGCACAGCAGCTATGCTCTGTAACACAACAGAATTATCATAATTACTTCATGAAGATCATATTTGTTCAAATGAATTTATTTTCTTAGGAAGTTTTCCACAAAAGAGCAAATTATACACTGCTGTTCAGCTGTGTTTCTATTCTGCATTTATAACCGCAGTGAATCAGTGTCTCAACAAAATCCACTTTGTTCCCACAAAACACAGAAGTTCCGAGTATCTCAGTGAAGGAGATGCACTTACAGTCATTTACAATACCAGTCCTCCTGAAATGGGGCAAAAATTTCAAGAAAACAACTGACATGGGGGGAAAAAGTCTAAACTAAACTGCATCTTTTGTCCTCAGCATTTTCACACATACTTCATACTGGCAGCTACCTGAAAGCAGCAAGTGCCAACCCTTTCTAATACCTTCAAATATTCTTTGGCAAGTCACATCTACTTAGAGCTGTGTAAACCACTCTAAAACGATAAAGCTGCTGATACAACCCTTGAGGTTACCATAGCAATATGATTAAATAACAGTGATCTTGCAACACTGCTGAACTAGCCATTATTCCAAATATCTTTTAGTTGAAAATGCTATTAAAAGGGTGTTAGGAAAGAAAGCTTGCTGGAGCACAAAGTTGCTAGAGGGTAAATTATTCCTACCAATTATTCCTCCTTCTTCTACTGCATTAAAAAAAACCCACCAAAAAAAGACCTCTGAAGAGGTCTTCGAAAGAAGTTGTACATATCCCGCTTTAGACAGAAGGAAAATTACAGCAACTATCAGGATATTATATATTCAAGATGTCCTGGCAGTACATCTTGAATGTATACCTTTCCTCCTATTTGTTTGGCAGTTAGTGTTTCTGGTTTCTGGATTAGTGAGCTAAACAGCAAATTTAGGAATTAATCATTAGTGCAGCCTTGTTTCCAAAAGGTTTGTTATATCTGCACAAATGTACAAGAAAGATTCCCACAAAGTACTTTCTACAGACTCCATGTAGTCGAAATCCTGAAGCTTTGTTACTGCTGAGGCATCAATCTGCTCAAAAGATTGGGTTTTCACAGATATCTGAGATCTTCTCTATTACTCCACTCAGGATTTCTTGTCTGCAAAATCAGAGCATTGATTTTGTGATAACGACTTGGGGCTTCCTAGACTGGCAGGCAAATCAGATTCAGATGCATTTCAACTCTGCCTGTTCATAACAGCAAGACAAATAATGCTTATATAAACTTAAAAGCTTTGGTTGTGATTTCAATTAGAAATGTCCCTTTAAACAAATAATTTGCTGCATGGTATCTATTACATTTTTTTCAGAGCACAACTGTCAATTTTACATTCAAGTGAACAAAAGCTTTTGGTTTTACTTGTCATACTAACCAAATCATAGCTTTAAACTGCATGGTTTTTCTTCTGTCCTTTTGCATCGCTATGTGTTAGACAAGAAGGTGAGTGGAAGATTAGGCTATGAGCTACGTCAAATACTGGATCCCTACATGCTCTGAACAATCAGTTTTAATGCTTAGGGTCTTCAATAAATAGCAGTGCTTTACACTGAGTGTCTGTATTTCAAAACAGTTTTCCCCACTACCCTAAAGAACAGGTACATTTATGATGACAGAGCACTTTGTGTCCAACCATACTCTTACAAACATACAGCTTACAAACAGGCAATGAAGAATACTCCCATCAGAAGCTGTGTGTGAAATTAAAGAAATACAGACTGGGCAAGGTTCTGAGAATAACATGTTTGGTTTACAGTGAAGCATATTAGTTAGGGCTTCAGGCTTGTATTTTATTATGAGTAGCTTTTTTAGTAGCACATTTTCCCATGATGTACAAGAGACTTGCTTCAATGAACAATATCTGTTCATATTACAAAACTACATTTAGCAGAATCCTAAAACCTGCCCATCTCAGACCGTGCTGATCTTGCTGAACTGCAAGTCACACCCAAGCTGTTCCTTTAAGATGCTCATTTACTGTTATAGCACTTAAAGACCTCATACTGAGTTTTGAATACTGAAGCATTATTCTATCTAGTGCCAAAATACTTAAAAAAATAAACAGGAAAATGCTTAAGTACTAGATCCTGACAATGCAGAATTCGCCTGTTTAGTAAATGTAGTTACTCACATATACAACTGAGAGGGGTCCACTGTATCGCTTAGTCTTAATGCCAAGGAGATACTTTAGTTGAGAAGTAAAGACATGAACTGCAGCAGCAGTAGTAAATCCTCGCACCAGAGGCTCCGTTAGATAGATGGCTACAAATCCAAATCGAAGGAAACCTAAACACAACTAATGAAGAAGAGAGTTATTAACTACATGACTCCCACTGTAGCCTGAACATCAGCAGACAGGCCATAGGACACCTCTTCTTACCTTGATGACCAAGCCAGATCAGGCAAACCTGAACTTGGCCCTTCTAAAGCCACAGTTCAGTAAGCAGCCATCAATGCACCAAACCTTCCATGCCACTGGCAGGTGCAATGTAGGATATGGGTAAAGATGATGTGTTTGTAGGCATTTATGGACAGATTAGAGACCATCAGGTTGAGTTTTTCTGATGGGGTAGAAAAATTGAAAGGGGGGAGGTCCCATTTTTCACAGACTAACCAAGATGCCAGACAAAGACTTGCCTCCAGTATATCCCTCCCCCCTTCTGTTACATGGCTGCCATGAAGCAGCCTGTATTCTGCACAGTGCTGTGCTGAAGCACAAGTCTATTGACAGAGGATCCGCCATGACCCAGTGCCATATGCAACTGCAAGTCTGGCAATAGCACCCGAACCTGCCCTTATGAACTGCAAGCACATACCTGGATAATTCCTGAAAGAAAGGCGAGAGTCACAGCTACCTGTACCCTCTTGGCATCCCTAGCATGGTAATATTCAAAGGAATCTGTAACGTTAGTAGAATTATAGCCTACGGAAATAATTTCATCAGGCACTTGTCTCACAGCAACGCCGCCAACCATCATACTAATCACAGCAAAGGTACCTGAAATATGAGGGAGAGGAAAATAACTGGCAAAAATCCTGGCAGGTTTTTTTTTATTTGGAGTGGTTCTTATTAAGGGATATGTAGAATTAAACTATAATAGACTTTCCTACCTAAATATTGTACTTTTTAGTCCCCAAATCTGTTCCAGTAGTCAGCACCATTAAAGCTAGTTAGATGGTGAACATACAGCTCTATGGTAAGTAAACACCATCATTTTTCTATATCTCAGTTTCTATTATGCAAATTAAAGATTCATCCTGGCCACACAGATAGTTTATGGCAGTGATGAAATTATAGTTCAGGAGTTCACAGCACACATTTCTAGACCTAATCCGATAAAAGATGTTCTTCTATTCCTTCCTAAGTAGGATGGGTAAGTTAACAATAAAAAATACTGCTAATGTTTGACACATTTGTGTTTCTCCTATTCACTTAAATTTGAATTTATGGAAAGCAACCAAACTTCCTAGTTCTCCAATTTTATTTTTTACAACTTTATTAAACCCATGCACACAGACTTTCAGTTATCCATACAGATATACCTATTGATATGTGCTTGGAGGTTCCAAAAAAAGTATATAGAAAGACAGGATAAAATGAAGAATATAGACCAAATACTGGGGGAACAGCTGCCAGCAAAGCATAGGCTAAACCTAGAAAACAGACACAAATATGTATGTTAGGCAAACAACAGAAAGAAACCATCTGAAGCAAAAGCATTTAAGCCTATTAAAATTGAACTCACCTAATAGGAAATCTAGTGACATATCACAGGTTTCAAGAAGTGTTACAGGGAATACTCTTTAATATGTATAATACTGTAGGGCAGTGCCTAGAAACATGATGGTTTGAGTCAGGAAACCAGAAGTCTCTAATTACAGGCATTGCAGGTGTGTGGGTGCGTGTTTGTGTGTACATCTGTGCACTCATTGTTTTGCCTTTGTGGCTGGAAGTACTTCTTAATAAGCCAACAAACACTTTTTGCTGCTTTTGTTTTTATCTGTCAAAGAATGTAATTAAAAACACCCAAAATCCCATAACCAGTGGGACACGTTTGATTTTTTTCCTCCTTTTCTACTCAGACATGACCTTCATGGTAATCTGTGACTGATTCATTTCCCTCCTCTCTCCCCCTCACCCCAGAATGAGTGGGATGACATAACAGTTTATGTTTCTGCAAAACATGCTCCAAAACGTAAAGCAAGCAGGGAAGCATTGTTTGCAATCAGTGAGGTGACTGAGCTTACATGGTCTGGTATTCTCCCCGAAAATGAAATCCTTTTTGTTATTAAGCCCTGTCCAGTTCCACACAGTGGAGGTGAGACCCACACCATTCCTACAAGTGTAGGTGGGGCTGGCAAGCATGGCAATGGGGCTGTGGGGGAGCAGCTGTACAGGACGCTGGGGAGGGACATCTGCCATGGTGCTCCCCCTCTGTGTGACTGAGCATGTGCTTATCATGGGACAAGTCTCACAAGCAAATCGTATGCACCACCTCATATGGCACGTAACTGTCCCAAGCAGTTCCAGCAAAGTCAGTAGTTCTACACGGCTTGCGTTAATGAGAATTAGACACCAGGACTGAACAAATCGGCCTTGAGAAGAAAACACTGTATGCTGGCTTGGCTCTCTGATTCACCTTTGCAAGGGCAGACTCATGACACCTGAGGAAGCTGTGTGTTCCTACTACACTTGGGCAGATTGGTCCAAGTTAGGACCAAAAAGCTCAACGGTCCAGTGCAAATTACAAAAGGAAGCAATGGTTCACCCACCATGGAGAGCTAGTGATACTTGAAAACACCTCTCCCTATTAATTTATTTTTAAAATGAGAGACAAAGCATCAGGTTACCGTGAAAGAACAAAACCAGAAAGGGATCTTCTGTGTCATCCAAGCACTCTTGCACAGTGTAACAGCTCTCATGGCCTTGCTCATGCCCTAAGCAATGTCTGAGTCCTAACCAGGAATTCATATTCCTATCAGAACTGGACTGATGATATCATTTATTCTCTTGCAGCAATGAGCTTTTCATTAAGTATTTCGGAAACTCATCCCACATATATTCTCTGCCCCAGGGGCTACCTCTCATGCCATGAGTACCAGAAGAACACCCTGTACTATAACAGTTTGGCCTTTAATATTGTGATGAACTTAACAGTACAAGTGACCAGAACTGAAAACCAGTGGTTTCAAAACTGTGAGGGTGGGTCTATATGAAGTTCCTGATCTGAATACCCTTTTATTCCTTTTCATTTGTACTGGCATTTTTACTGGCTGTCAGTGCCAAGGAAATAGATATTGACATGACAGGAGTTCACAGCTTAAACGCCCTGGTCATTGTAGTTCTGCCTGGAATGATTCCCAGACTGCTTTGAACTCATGCTTGCTATAATTACATCCACTCCAGAAAAATAAAAGTTCAACTTTAGTCTTTCTAGAATGGAAAAGACTAGGAGCAGTTTAAGGGCAGTTCTGCAAGTCACCAATGGAAAGAATAATGTTTAGTTTAAAACAAAGTCACAAAATTAAGTATAAAGTTCACTGCTGACCACTTCAAGTTCTCATGTGCTTTTATCTGGTCATCACATAAATTGTGTTTCAGTATACAATCAGTAATGTTTGTGCCTACGATATGATAGATTTGCCTGACAGTTAACCACGTTACCCATCAGTTTAAGATAAGATGGTGTTTATATTTGTGTAAGAAAAAATATCCTTAATTATAAAAAATTTCACAAAACCAGGAAGCTACAGAAATAAAGTCAACTTCACAGACTAAGTTAGGCTATTCCATTGCTTTAATGGGTTACTGCCTATTAAAATCCAGGCTTCTTGGATTTACAGATTAATTCTTCAGACCTGCCTCAGCCTAAAGTGGAATGAGTGAGGTGGAAATATGAAATAAGCCAAAACACAAGTAAACTTATATATGCTTAATTACATTACCCTTAGCATGAGGACTCCTCTGGACTGGGCTCTGCACAAATTCAAGAATTCCCTCTACTCCAAGACCTCCTGGGAAAATATACTGGGACTGTGGCGGCTGTTGTGAAGCTGCCATGCCCAGAGCAGTGATGACACCCCATAATGGTACTGCCGTAAAAATGCTGTCGCTTTCTAACCCTATCACAGTTCTGAAACTGCTGAGAGTATGCTGTCAGGCTGAGCAAAAGATGCTACTGGTCCAGTCAACCAGAGCTTAACAGAACAGTGAAAACTGACTGGCTTCCTCTTCATCTTCCACAGAGCCTGCTCCTGCTTCAGGGCCAGGCTCCACCTGGGGTGAAACTTCCAAGTAATTTAATAGAAATTCCACAGATTTGCAGTCTTCTTATAGAAGACACTTTTGATTTATTTCCACCATGTAAATCATTGCCCACTACTACGGTTCCATCTTAAACTGGTGACTTCTAGCCTTAAGGGAAAAAGAGGGATCAGTCTCTGCTTTCTTGCAGAGTCTTCTCTGGTTGAACTTAATTGTTTACTTTGCAACAGTCGCTCTCCTGAAACATTATGTCTATTAGATACTGCTATCCTGTGTAGGAAGTTTGCTATAACTTTCAGGATGAGGAGATCAGAAAATAACTGGGCGCATTCAGCAAAGGTTTAGACATGCACTTAAACTGTGAAAAGTTGTTCTGTCATCGAGAGCTGTTGGTACTGATCAGAGAGGTAAGTTTCTATCACAGTTTGCTGCATATCACTGACTTGCAGTTTTAAGGGAATGATCATTATGGGCTGGTCCGCAGAATGCTGTACTGATCTGCCCCCCCCCCCCCCAAATGAGCACCTGTTCAGGAAGCCAAGCACTGCCATAAAAGCACACCCAGAAAAAGCAAAGAGGAGGACAAAGAAATCCTCACCAAAGAGATACTCACCTTGAGGAAGCTGCATAACCCCAGTGCTTATACCTGAGATTATGTCTCCTAATAAGTATTCCTTCACTGGGTAACGGGGAAGCCATTTTAAAATTGGTAAGAAACTGTAAAGATGAGACTTGGCTTTCTTAGAAGAACAACTGAAAATACAAAGCAGAAAGAGAAAGTTAGGCACTACCAGGGGACAAACAGGTTGAAAAAAATTGTATTTCATCCCTGTGCAGAGAAACAGCTCCATTAAAGGCAGGCTCCGAGCCCTGATCACAGTGATTTCTGGACAAAGCTTAGGCACAACCAACTATGACTCCAGTTAATTTAGTCCTTTATCACATGTTGTCTGTCCTTCACGAACCTTGTTGAACTGGAGAAGGGAATCACGGTCGTGTGAGGCTGGAGGTCAGTGGGAAGTGAAACTGTTCAAGTCCACGCACGATTGAGCAGTCACACAACACTTTTTGCTGAGATCATTCCTGGTAACAAACCCCTGAGCATAACTTGCTTTCTGATAGCGGTTTTCACTCAAAGTACTTTGCAATGCTTTTTCCTATTTTTATTTACTATTTGCGTGCTTTACATTTTTTTGATTATAACACTTTATATTATTATACTTTTTAAAAAAAAGCAAACTACTATTTTACTAATGCTTGTTACTATCACTGGTACTGATAGGCTAACTTTAAGGCTATTTAAGAACATAACCTTTCTTTACCCTGAAAGGAAAGGCATTGAAGCCAGCAACACTGATCCTTGTATCTCTTAGGAGAGTTATTAACCTTTTGAAACCCTGACTCATGACAAATGAATAGAGCCAGGAAATAAATATCTCTATCCAGCACTGCCATGCATCATACTTGGATTGTACTGTGGTAAGAAAGTTTAACCTTGGGTAAAAAAAATATAACACTGGGATCATATAAATGCTTTTCTGTGTAGGGGAACTGCAGAAGAATTGCAGATTTGTTAACATTGCTGAATTCTCATGGGACTAAATTGCGTAGTGAAGAAGCTTATTGCTACAAGTGAGAGAGGAACTAGAGTCATCCGCACTTCATGTTTAAGTTGAGATTAATTAAGATTGAATCACAAGAAGTCATAGCTCAGGAGGATTTTGATCTACATACTTTTTATTCAGGACAGCTAAGTTTTTTGAGGTGGAATTAGGTGCCATTGCTAGAATGGTCATTCCATTAACCAAAACAAATCTCCAGATACCAAATCATGTTAATAGGAATATTTTACAGACAAGCAGCCAGGCAGAAATAATTTGTCTTGCAGAACAAGGTTCTAGCAAGAAATTGAATCAACTCTGCAAAATGAGCATGGATAAATGTAAAGTTAATGAGAACTTAACTAGAATAAGTCTCTCTTTGCTACCCTCTGGTACCACACAGAAAGAGTTGCACATTTCCTCTCTAACGAGATGATACTTGGACTCCAAGGCAGTTAGTTAAAAGCTACAGAATGCCTCCATTAAGTCCTTATTAAACTAATAATTTAGATTTCTACAGAGCTGTCATATATCTCCATTCTTCGCCCGTGAAAGGATCATGTGAAGCACAAATTTGGCCTTAAGTATTTCCACGTAAAAAGGACAGATATTTTTCTGGGTCGTATGAATTCATGTCACATGACTTGACTAATATTTCACATTCCTGTACTGCATATTTTTCCTTTGCACTTTGATGAAGGCAATTCAAGTAATTTATCCAAAATTTTGTAATATAGTTATATATTAACACATAAAAACACATAAACAACTTTATCACAGTCTTGCTGAATAATCAAAGTAGAACTCTTTTATCTTTTATGTTTCTTTGAAGACATTACCAGCTATGTGCATGAACCAATTAAGAATTAGAGTATTTCTAACCAATAAAATAAAGATAAAACAAAAACCCCTACCGATAAGAATGTGTAATCTTCTGCCTCAAAGTCTGAGGTGTTCTTTCTCGTCTATGCAGCTGTGCTTGCAAGAGCTCTTGGTTATATATTGGTCTCTCCACACAATACCTCTGGGTTTGCTCAAGACATGCTTCGTGTTCTTCAGCATGTTCCATAGTTGATCTCACAGAGCAGGAGGCAAAGGACAGTTCCACAGTCTCCACTGAAAACCCTGGTTGCAGACAAAATGACTTTGGTTACTTTTTTAACCTTGGATTTGGCATTTCCTTTCAAAGAATGTATTTTGACAAGCTAGAGAAAAGAACTGTGAACACAGTTTAAAAGCACTGACTAGATAGTCTGTAACAGCAGTAAGTAAATAAACCACATTCACAATCTTTAGTACACGGAAGCCATTAGTTTATGCTTCTCTTAGGTGAAGAAAGCTTTTGCATTAATTACTCTGTAAATAACTGCAGAAACAAAATTGGAAAGTTATAGACATGCTTATCTGGATTTTCCCTCCTCAGGTTTTAAAGGAAATGTCAATGCTGAAGGGAGATTACTTTATCACTGAGTTACTTCCTCCTCACTCACAAACTGTCACGTCCATCTCCAAAAGACAACTCCAATTTTAACACTGAGAAAGCCACTTCTTTCTTCCAGATAGCCAGTTGCTTCCTGCATCTATCCACCTGCTTTCTCCTCCTCTCTTTCAGAGGCGTCTTTTTCCAGACAGCATCTCAGGAATGCACAATTCACTACTTTCAAAAAGTTATTCTTTCAATGGACGTGCCACTTACTGCTGCTATTCTTAGTCCTGCACCCACTAAAACAGGAGTCAAGAGATGTAAACAATCTTAAAACTAGCCAGAAGGTTTGTAAACATCTATTTGTCTGTCTGATTCAGTGCCATAAACAAGATCTTAAGGAGATACTCTGTTAATTCCTTTGCCCCGTGTTGGCTGCTTCTAGAAATATGGGGCAAGAAACATAACTCCAAGTTACGAGCAAAATGACAGGACTGCTATATCGCTAAGCAGACATGCTGGCTAGTGCTACACTTGATGACAGAGCGCAATGGGAAACAGAGCTATAATTGTGAACAAGGCCCTTGGGCTCAGGTCCAGCAAGTCACTTAATCACAGAATCACTAGGTTGGAAAGGAC